ATCGAAATTACAAGTGACCCTCTAAAGCGGCGCTCCCGGGCCCTCCCGTAATTCATGCGAGCGATTTGGCTAAGTGTGCCAGCCGCCAAACGTGCTCTGCAGCAATCACGGCTAATCTAATCAGTCCGCCTGCGAGGGGACCCAGCGGTGTCATCAGCTCCAAAGGGCCCTTGGTGAAAGTGGCTGGGAGGGGCCAGCGGCAGCCGGAGCCATGAATGACACTTTCTCATTTGTTCCTTTCCCAGTTCAACAAATGTTTAGCCCCGTCGCCGCTAAATGAACGCCGGGCGCTCTTTGGCTCGGGGAAGCTATTTATTTTTTTTAAGATTCCCGGACAGGATCAGGAGCAATTAACTTATTTTTGTTTCTATTTTCTCCCGGTGTATTGGGAGCTAACCTGGAGCACAGCGAAAGGGCTGCCGGGCTGCGTGGGCGCCTCTCTGCTCTCCTCCCCGGCCCCGCAGCGCGGCGGGGAAGAGGTGGCCGCCGTCAACAGGCTGCCGGCCCCCGAGCCGGGACCAGACCCCCCCTTTGCCGTGGCGGGGTCCCTTTCGGCGTGACGCTGCCGGGAGGCAGGGAAAAGCCAAGTGAAAAACACGCAAATAGGGACAAAAGCAGGAGCCATGTCCCGCCGCGGCCGCTGCCGGACGGAGCCCCGGCGGGGAGTCCCGGTACCCCCGGCTGCTCTCCCGGCACCCCCACCCGGGCACGGACACGGGGGGGACCTGAGCAGCCCTCGGGGAGGGACGGCGTTGCCCAGAAATTCAAAAACTTCGGGGTTTGTTTGTTGGGTTTTTTTTCGCCGGTGGGTTGCGGTTGGCTGGTTGGTTTGGTGGGGTATTTTTATATTATTTCTATTTTTTTTTAGTCTCCATTAGAACAAAATGCCGCTGGGTAACCCGGGCTGGCTGGGGTGTCCCTGCGAGTCCCACGGGGGGGTGGTGGTGGTGGTGGGGTGTCCCAGTTTCTGTTCCTTTCGCACAAAACGAGCCCAGCTCCCCCCCTGGGAGGGACCCTCCTGCGGCTCCTTGCGGGTCC